CCGTGAAGGGAAAGCTGCATCTCCCCCTCCCTATTAGCTGTCCTTGTGGGCTATTCCTCCGGGGGGGGGGGGGCTGATGATTCTAGCACTCAGCTACCCCCTCATGGTTCCTTCACTGCCATGGAAAGTGGTGTTCTGTCTCCATGAAGGTTTCAAGTACTCTAAATACCAGCTTCGGATGGATTTATGGACACAGTAGAAAAGAACGACAGTGGGTATATTTCAAAATGCCTTGTCTAAGTTTATCTCTGGAGAAGGAGATAAAAAGGGGGATTTGTAGAGTTATATTTGTATTTATTCATGTTAGCAAACTATGGATAAGCTTAAAATGGGAATAATTTGGGGAAAAACTGTGAGCTGCATTTGGGGCCTGTTGACATGTGTTTTTGAGGACAAAGGAAGATGGGGGAAGGTGAGAGCATGTCCTGATTTGCATTCAACTTAGATCTAGCTGCAGTGTTTGTGATATTAAGAGAGGTCCCTTGGGTTTCTCTGGTGGTTATCAACAGTAGCAGTTAAGTGAATACTGTTCAAACAATACCTGTGTTTGTGTTTTATATTGATTTCTCTGTTTTATCCTTTCATAAATGTAAGGACTACAAATGGCTATAAACATTCTGGGCTGGTTGGAGTAAACAGGGTTTTATGGCTCTGTGGGGGAGGTGTAGGTATGCAGGCCTTGAGACCTTTTGTTGGAAAGTGAGCCTGTTTGGTTTCCTGCTGCGTTTCCTGCTGCGTTGCGTCTCCCAATGAGATGACCTGAAAAGATGACCAGCTGACCTAACACCAAACCCCTCCTTCTTACTCTGGTATATATCCGGTGGATCCCTGGCGTTCGGCCTCTTCTTCACATGCTGCCCTCGGGTGAAAGTAGCTCTGCAGTATGCGGACTAGAGCAGGAGTAAGCCGGCATTACTCCTTAAGCATTGCAATATAACTGTAATATATCATGTTGTATTGTAATGATTGTATTGCATTGTCATATTGCCATTAAAGTAGATTATTGTTAACGGTTACTTTGTAGATATGGATTCCTTCCTGTATTATAACCAGCTTCATAGGAACGCGCGGAGATTTGAAAAGCGGACCAGTTATCCCTTTAAATCTCCAACAACACACACACACACACACACACACACACACACACACACACACACACACACACACACACACACACACACACACACACACACACACACACACACACACACACACACACACACACACACACACACACACACACACACACACACACACACACACACACACACACACACACACACACACACAGCGCCCCGGTGACAGGACATCTCCTTCATAAAACGAGGGAGAATACTCTGGTAGTTCGATGTGTGTATAGGTGTGTGTGGTTAAACGTAGCAGCCTCGATCTCTATTCAGCTGTTCTAATGAAGGGAAACGCAGTGAAGTAAACAGTAAAAGGCACAGCTCTTTGCAGCTGGTGCTGCTCTTCTCAGATTCTGCTGAGTTACACTTTACTGCCTCCAGTGCCCTGTACGACGAAGCCAGTTTGACAGACCCTGGACCTGGATATGTTCGATTTACCCGGCTTAACTAACCCTAACAAACGCGATGTCGATAAGCGGTCCTACGAAGCTGGTTATCAACTCAGTAAATCAAGCAGGGTTTCTCTGTCCGGCTGAGAGCGCGTTCACGTGAAAGGGACGGGGTTAGCAACATTTGACCAATCACAAACATGGAGACGTGTGCTGACAGCGCAGCGTCATACTTCATGAATGAATAGTGTAAAGAGCAAATCCTGCTTCGTAGTACAGGCCACTGGTGCCGCAGAGATTTCATAAAGTGAAGGAGATTTTTCTTCTATAAAACAGCTGTGGTCAGCAGATACTGTGTGTCACGGACAGGAATCCCTCAATTTAAATAAAACGAGGCCACGCTTTATTAACTCGTGCGCACGCTTTATTAACTTGTGCGCACGCTTTATTAACTCGTGCGCACGCTTTATTAACTCGTGCGAACGAGAAAGTAAAACGTGGCCACGTTTTATTTATTTTCTCTCAATGAACCCTCCAGGGCTCCGTAGAAAAATGACTTTTATTTTTGTATTGTAATGAAATGTTTGCTGTTTACTCACAACAATAAAAATACAATTATACAAAGAGAACTTTGAAGTATACGGCTATTATCCCAGTTATGTGTTTGTAATTAATTTACATATTTTGGTAGTTTGACACCCAGTCATCTGGACTTCTGCATCATATATTTACTTCATGGACCAAAAACTGTCTTTATTGTGTCTTCGTCGTCTGTGATTTAACGTCAGAGTGCTTTGTTTTTCTCCCCCGCCTCTCACCTCACAAACGTAAATGAGAATTGTCCGAAAGATTTACCTTCACTGAGCTACAAATTACTCGTACACTTTATTTATTTTTACCCTCTCAGCAGTTGACAACTCTACAGATTGTTGTTGATGGTCACACTCACTCACAAGGTCAGTGATGTTGTAAACAGGAGAAAACTGCAGGTAATTTATGTGCACGGCTTTGACAAATGACTGTTTCGTGGAAGTAATGAGTAAACAACCAGATTTAAAAGCAATCATAATCCTTTGCAATAAGTAATGACCAAAAAATACATCTTTATGGGTGCCAAACTCAATACTTTCAATAAAAAAAACTACAATGAAGCCTGAGCGTATGCGAACATGGTTTTCATCTCCTGGTTCCACGTATGATCGTTCATTTCAGTCACACGCATGCACCAGCTGTCCTTGTGTGTCTTTCATGGGGTGCTGTGGTTTGGGGGAGGAGGGTGATGCTGAGGGGACAATGCCCAGCGGCGAGCACTCTCCCCCCAGGGTGGGCTGAGTGCCTCTCCCTCTCTTCTGTCTGGAGCTTCATCATTTATAGACGAGACAAAATAAAGCAAAAACAACAAAACGGCGTGAAGTCTAAGAGCTGTGGCTCTCACATTTACAAGCTCTCACACATGAAGAGGAGAGCTGGAGATGCACACGGAGCAGTTTGTTCAACTCCTTGTTGCTGCCTCCCAGCATCCCTCAGTAAACAGCAGTCAGGTGGAAACCCTCTATTAGAATAACAACAACGCTGCACACTGTGCATGTGTGCGTCAGGCTGGATGTAACATTAATGGTGTGATTAGCCAGGTTATTAAAGCTAAATTTACTCTAATGTTCTGTGGCTATTTCTGCACCTGGAAGTACCCTGATTAGCATACAGCTAATAGCATAAGCATAGCCTGGTGGAACTATTTTGTGTGTGTGTGAGATAGTGAGAGAGACACAAAGAAAAGGAGGAAGACAGAGAGTGTGTCAGAGAGAGATGGGAGGTGTGGAGCTGTTATCAGTCATGCATGACATCTCTCCACTTTGTGCTTATTTCAGATTTATAGCTCTCTACCAGGGAAACCAAGTTGACTTTGTTGCTCAAACTGAGCTGATTGACAGGGCCAGGATGTCAATCAAACATCATCTGTCAGCCAGCCGAATGTCCACCACCACAGTCGTGAGAGGAGCCGTTTTTCCCGGATAATAAAAGGGGTCCTCCAGTGATTTAGTACAGCACTTCAATAAACGTAACACTCACAAGGCACATATTAAAGACAGGATGGTTGAAATTGAAAGCAGCAGAGCCTGAGATGATCACTTTAGTACTTAACAAGAGTCATGATCCAAACATATTTCCATTATGTGACTCTCTGAGAAGCTGACCGTTGAGCGGCCCAGACCAAGCAAGGAGGCAGAGGCAGAACGTCCAAAATACAACCCGGTGTGGGCATTTATTACTCACAAACGTATGACACAGCCTCAATCTGCTGTTCACGTGAGCACAGTCACCAGCCACCACAAGGATCTCACACACTACCCAGCCTAACAGACAGGGAAACAGAGCCTAAATACACACACACACCCTAATCAACCAATTAGACACAGGGGGGGGAGGAGACAACACAGGGCACAAGGTGAACATAATCAGGAGCAACAGAAAAAACGGGAGGGGGAACACTTTTCAAAATAAAAGACATGTGCAATATACAAGGCCCGAAGCAGTCAGTCAACAGTGACGAAGTTACCTTCGTCACAGGCTCAATGGACCCTTTCTGCCTGGTAACGTCTTTCAAACTATACACTTGTTATCACATAGGCTTTGTGTAAAATGTCTCACAACTCAAGACGGGATGAACCTCTTGACATCACTATGGGTTATTTCTCTGATTTAAGCTCAAGGTATTATACAAGTGTTTGCACTGGCAAAGTAAAACTACTCATGATAAACTGACTTTCAATGTGTAAAATAGTACACATTATAAACATTAACAACTGGAGACACAGTGCCTACTCAGCAGTGTTGAACTATAACATAGACGTTTTGGCCTTGAACAACAACAATATAAACAACACTAAAAAAGTGTGAAATACTTACAAATATAATAAGCCTATGGATATTTATGTGAAGGGAGAAGAACAGAAGGAGCGGTTTGGTGTGCGCTGCTTTTGTCAATTTCAAAAGTAGGAAAAAAAAGTTTGACGTTGTGGTACGGAAAACAGAGCCTCCATGATGTTAATTGATGATTCTTAAAGGCGCACCTCATATTGTGATTGGTTGGTGTCTTTGATCAAGGTGCAAAAGTACAGAAAAAATGACACTGTTTCGTTAAAAACAAGTGGTTTGGTGTGCGCTTTTCTGCCATGTTGGGTTATATTTACGTTTTTATGGCTATTTCAGGACAAAAAATGTTTTATTCACTCAAAAATATATTTAGTAACCCAATATTCTCAATTTGGATACTTAGGCTAGTATAATGAAGTATACTCTGCACAGTAAGAACCAACTCGCAAATCAAAAATGGCTACTGTGCACAGAAAATGACTATAGCAAATACCAAAATACTACAAACTGCTTAATCGTCTACCAAATAAAGCATAGGCTTACTCATGGATTATATCCTATAACAGTATAGTGGTAGGCTACTTAGTCAAATAAAAGATGTATAACTTACATTTGTTTGTTGTGATATTCATCGGAGCAACTGCTGCTAGTTGGCATCTTGGCTATCATGTTAGCCAAGATGGCCACCGTTGAGGGTGAGAAGTCCTGAGAGGTTTCTCAATACTCTAATTTCCCCTCCTCGACTCCTATCCACGACTCCTATCCACGACTCCTATCCCCGAGACTTAGTCCCGCCCACAGGAGATGCGAGCGGAGGACTGAGGAGGGGAACCGAGGAGAGAGGAGGGGAAGCAGCAGGCGGTTAGAGAAATGAGAACTCCTCTCCATTTTAAAGAGACGTCCATTAATGATGACAGGAGGCACAGCAGCCCTCTGTCTGATGGACATGTGTTCATGATGACTTATATATTTACTTCAATTCATTCACAGTGCGGTATAATGAGACAATAACAGGCTACAGATGAGGACATATACACACATGTATTTATATAAATATATACAATTTCAGAATCAAACAAGTATGAGAGTACTCTCATAATAACGTAACACACTGAAGACTGAATATACCCCCCCCTCTCTCTGGTCGCTGAAATGGGGAATTGAAATTACGGGCCAAAAGTTGTATTTACAAGTATTAAAAGTAAGCATGGGGGCTTGGGCGTAACGCCTCCACCGTTCCCGGAAATGCATCCGCGGAGGAGCCGTGGAGGACCCATCAGTGGCAAGCCCCCAGGAAGTGCGCCGGAGTCTGATGAGAATATTCGTGCTGGTCAAACGGCGGTACTACACTTCCTTTAGGTTGCTGGGCCCGGAAACACTTTTCCCCATTGACTTACATTGGGAAAGAGTGGTCTGTAACTCGTTGGATTTTTTAAAAAAAACTAAATAAACTACCCAGTATGAACGTTTGTATAGCCCTTATTAAAAACATTCGTTCCTCAAGTTGTAAAATGTGCTAATAACGTTATTCTGAGAGTTATTTCCCTCGGCATTATGAACGCGCATCTAACCCACCCGTTTATCTTTACCCATGGATGCACAATAAGAACGGACCATATCGCCTTACTGCCAGCCCACGGAGCTGTAATAATGGATATATTGCACATGTTTGCTGTAATTCATCATTTGTAAAATATTACACTACATGGGCTGTATGATGTAAATCTTGTACCGTAAATGTTGTATTAAATAAAGTTAATATTACCGACGTAGATTAACGTTCCTGTAGCTTCTTATTGCACTTGCAATTGTTTTAGTTACTTGTGGGCTACTTAACATGAATAATCACCGTTACTATCCTTTTACTCCATCACATTTAAAAAAGAAATAGGCTATTGTTATTTTAACTCCACCACAGTAATCCATCATCAGCTTGACTTTTTAGATAAAGTTTTAACTCACAATTGATCATAACAGGCTTCAACATATGCATTTTTATATATTACCAAGTGGTTTCATGTACAACCCACACAAGTATTATGCTAAATGAAGCTCTGTTGCTTGGATATCACTAGATCCTGATGTCAGCGTAATATAAAAGTACATAACGATTGATGTGTAATTTAGCATAATTTACTAGCTAGCCGCTAGCTGTTAACTGCCTCGTTAAATCCAGTACCAGTACGGTTTAGGCCCAAAATACATTACTGACCTCCTGCTAAATTATGAACCATCCAGATCTCTCAGGTCTTCAGGCACTGGTCAGCTTTCTGTCCCCAGAGTCAGAACTAAACACGGTAAAGCAGCGTTCAGTTATTATGCTCCAAATATCTGGAACAAACTCCCAGAAACCTGCAGGTCAGCTGCAACTCTTACTACTTTTAAATCCAGGCTGAAGACTTTTCTTTTTGTCGCTGCTTTTAATTGAACTATTCATATCTTAAACTGCACTGTAACTTTTATCCATGTATTTTTTCTTTTAATGTTTCTTTTATTAGCTTTTCTTTTTAATGACTGATTTTAAATGCCCTTTTCTTAATGTCTTTAATTTTTTGTAAAGCACTTTGATTTGCCTTGTGTTGAAAAGTGCTATATAAATAAACTTGCCTTGCCTTACCATGCTGTCATGAACGCGCGGTGCTGTTACGTGTATGCAAATTCACGTGCTTAATGTGAACGAGCCTTTTGGGCGGCGTGGTTAAAGTTGCGCATGCTCTATGAGTGCACATACGGGTACTTCTCAGGCATGCCGGGTAATCTGTGACGTTTCGGTCTCTCAAAAGTTGGGCCATTTTGTCATCATGCGCCATTGAGCAACTCTCATAGGAATTAATGAGGCCCCGCCTCCCACGCTGTATCCAGTTCTTATTATAGTGGCCGTTTCTCAATCGCGAGGAAACTGGCTTCCAAGCCAATATTTCAAGGATACTACGTCATCGAGTTCCAATCTCCAGCATACTTGGAATTCCACCGAGGCCGCGTCCTTGGTTTGTAGGTAATTTCGAGGCTGCACATGGGTAGACTTCGCGTCCTTCAAATCCCCACAATGCTTTGCACACGGACCAATTTCCCCAAATCTGTGGCGGAAAATGTAAGGCGGGGCCTATCATATGACGCACACCTGCACACTTGCTAGCCTGTTCCACTCTTCGTTTTCCAAATGCCAGGAAGGATTCTTGCAGCTTCTGAAGGAAGTGACTCGGAAGACATGTGCTACCAAGCAAGCATCCTCGCGATTGAGAAACGGCCAGTGTCTCCTCGGTTAGAGCTCCTCCAGAGAGCCTCCTCGATGCTCGATGCTCTGTCCTCGATGTGCATTTAGAGAAATTAGATGTCCTTCAACATGGCGCGCTGAAATCCATTTCCGGGTCACTACCGGAGGACCGAGGAGTAGAGGAGTCGAGGAGGGGAAATTTGAGTATTGAGGAACCTCTCCAGTCTCTGATTGTGTTACATTATTATGAGAGTGCTCTCATACTTGTTTGATTCTGAAATTGTATATATTTATATAAATATGTGTGTGTGTCCACATCTGTAGCCTGTTATTGTCTCATTATACCGCGCTGTCAATTAATTAAAAGTAAATATATAAGTCGTCATGAACACATCTGTCCATCAGACAGAGGGCTGCTGTGCCTCCTGTCATCATTAATGGACGTCTCTTTAAAATGACAGCTCAGAGGGGAGGAGTTCTCATTTCTCTAGCCTCATCCCAATACCCCTCCTCGACTCCTCCTTTCCCTCACTCGCTTCCCTTCCTTAGCTCCGCCTCCGTAAGATGCGAGCGAGAGACACGAGGAGGTGACACGAGGACAGAGAAGTCCTCAGGTATTAATTGGGATGTCCTCGTTCACTCAAACGTCACTCTTAAACGACGTCTGTGTGTATGTGTATGTGCACAGCTGTATCCCCTCTCATCGGGCTTAACTGAAGAACCCCTTAGAACCGGCCCATTTGTTGTTAAATATTTATTTAAATGAATGAATCTTTCTCTTGTTAGTCAAGGAATTCAATGTATGATGGTTGGTCCTGCTTTTGTGTTCCGTTTTGGTGTAAAATGTAGCCTACATTTAAATAAAAATATAATTATAGTAACGTGAAAGCCTTTTAGTACGGAGCCCTGGAGGGTTCATAGAGAGAAAAATAAATAAAACGTGGCCACGTTTTACTTTCTCGTACGCACGTTTTACTTTCTCGTGCGCACGCTTTAGTAACTCGTGCGCACGAGTTACTTTCTCGTGCGCACGAGTTACTTTCTCGTGCGCACGAGTTAATAAAGCGTGCGCACGAGTTACTAAAGCGTGCGCACGAGTTACTAAAGCGTGCCCACGAGTTAATAAAGCGTGCGCACGAGTTACTAAAGCGTGCGCACGAGTTAATAAAGCATGGCCTCGTTTTGTGTGTGTGTGTGGGGGGGCATTTGTTTATGATAGTATCGTTCGTTCCGGTGCACTCCGGCAGGACTATAGCACATCGAGATTAAGATTAAACACATTTCTTTCACTTGGGAATACACTTAACTATGGGGAACCAGATTTGTTTAAAGTACTGTTCATGGTAATTTGAAAACAAATGCCGGTGGTGTCGGATACACACAAACACGCACACAGAGCGGAGCTGAGCACACACACACACATCATGCGCCCCGGTGACAGGACATCTCCTTCATAAAACGAGGGAGAATACTCTGGTAGTTCGATGTGTGTATAGGTGTGTGTGGTTAAACGTAGCAGCCTCGATCTCTATTCAGCGGTTCTAATGAAGGGAAACGCAGTGAAGTAAACAGTAAAAGGCACAGCTCTTTGCAGCTGGTGCTGCTCTTCTCAGATTCTGCTGAGTTACACGTTACTGCCTCCAGTGCCCTGTACGACGAAGCCAGTTCAACAGACCCTGGACCTGGACATGTTCGATTTACCCGGCTTAACTAACCCTAACAAACGCGATGTCGATAAGCGGTCCTACAAAGCTGGTTATCAACTCAGTAAATCAACCAGGGTTTCTCTGTCCGGCTGAGAGCGCGTTCACGTGAAAGGGACGGGGTTAGCAACATTTGACCAATCACAAACATGGAGACGCGTGCTGACAGCGCAGCGTCATACTTCATGAATGAATAGTGTAAATAGCAAATCCTGCTTCGTAGTACAGGCCACTGGTGCCGCAGAGATTTCATAAAGTGAAGGAGGTTTTCCTTCTATAAAACAGCTGTGGGCAGCAGATACTGTGAGTCACGGACAGGAATCCCTCAATTTAAATAAAACGAGGCCACGCTTTATTAACTCGTGCGCACGCTTTAGTAACTCGTGCGCACGCTTTAGTAACTTGTGCGCACGAGTTACTAAAGCGTGCGCACGAGAAAGTAAAACGTGGCCACGTGTTATTTATTTTTCTCTCTATGAACCCTCCAGGGCTCCGTATTTTAGAAATTAATTGCACATAATAATTCCCACGGAGCTGTGAGCACTTATACATTTATGTGACGCTTTTCCCCTCATCTTCCAGTTGTCTGTTTTCCTCTGTTGAAATGGACCAGCTGTGAAGGTGGGGGCGGGGCTTTTATACACGAGTAGTGAAAACACTTCAGCGTTGTCTGCTTGCGTGTATCCTCCCTTTCGTCTCCTCCCGCACCCCTCCTCCCTCACCCCTCCTCGACTCCTCCGTGTGCATTTCAGCTATTGGGAC